CGATGCAAACAGTCAGTGATTTTTTAATTTCATGACTCAGACTTTTTTTTCGGATCACTGACTTCTTTTCTTTGGTTTTTCTCTTCCTCTCAAAGCTTTGAACTTGGTGGTGATAAGAAGACAAAGGGTGCAGCACTTGTGTTTTAGAAATGACGATCAATCTTATGTCTTTTCGAACCCACTCTTTGATCTATGTGCATTAATTTTCTATCGTCTAAGCGAGCGAGCCTATGCCAATCCTATCAACCTTTTACACGTTCCATTTGATGTCCAGAGAGATTTCTTTGTGACGAGATGAATCCCTTACTGTTGTGTTGAAGAGACGATAACCAAGGTATTTTGAGCATGGCAGGATTAAATGAACTTCTTTGTCATGTAACATATCCGCATGATCTTTGGAAAACCAAGGATCAACGATGATGCTCTACTTGACTTGTGTTATGATGTATCCCTGGTCTCTGAACTCCAGCTCGATTGTGCACGGTACATCTGAAAATATGTCTCCTCCAAAATGACAATCAATATTACAAAGCTTCAAAGCGTTTCCGTGCCAATTTCTAACCTTCTCGAGTTTCGAGCGGGGAAGCTTCCAAGCTTCCTGAAACCGACTCTGTTGTTGTACCATTAAGATGCCAACAGAAGGCAAATACATTCAAGAAATTCCAACACCCAGACTATTCGTGTCTCAGCAACACTGATCAAAAGAAAAATTAATTGTACATATTCGAAAAGAAGTAATAAGATCAGAACCAAACTAACAATCATAAAAAATGATCAAGTTGATTTACTTTGGAAAAATAAACTATTGATGAAAAAACTATACGTGTTTAGATGACGTTTGATGCATAGGAGGTCTTAAAATAATCAAATCATTAAAACAAAATCGAAACTATAATAATTAAAACAAAATTGACACTAATAATTAAAACAAAATCGAAACTTGAGAGTTATAGTAAAAATCCAAATAGGTAAATAAACATATCAAAGAATTACACAGATTATTCAAGAAGAAATCGATTGAAAATGAAAACATAAAGAAAATGAAAAATAAAATGGCTTGAAAGCAAAGGAAATCTTATGTATGAAACCAAGTAAATCGATGATATCAACTCTTTTCCTATAAAGATCTGAAAAGTGAAATATATTCATCAGTCAGTTTTACCAATCTAAAAAGTTCAAATACACAAAAAATCTCTTTACTCACTCTTGTTTGGTATTTCCATTCATTTCATATCTCTTCCATTAACCTTACAATCTCCATTAAGACTTGAAGTAGGTCGTCCTCGATGACTCTTTGAACGAGATTTCTTTTCCAAAGCATTAGATTGAGGTTGAGCAGATTGAAAGACCTCAAGATTCCGTTTCGATTCAAGATGATGATAGATTTGTTCGATTTGAACCAATGTTAGTTGTTGACCATACAACTCTTCTGCATCGGCTCCAAATGTATTACGAATCGATTCGATGATCTCAGGAGTAAGTGTGTTGGGTACAGAAGCATCGGTATTGGTACTGATGATGGTAGGATTACTAAAGAGATCACAGTCTGAGAAATCAGAAGATCTAGAGGATTGACTAGACCGAGTGTTGGGTGAATGAGGACGTAAACGAGATTGAGTTTTTGATCGATCTCGTTTAGAAGAACGTAGTTGGCTTGATCCTTGACTAGATGAATATTGAGATGAATTAGAATGAGAAAGTAATCCGAGTGCTTTAGCTTTCTTCTTGGCACGCTTACGAGCCAATCGATAT